TGGTGTCTTGAGATCCTAAAACTGTTAGTAAAGATAAAAAAACAGGCTGAGAGAAGGAAGGCAACTCCACATCTGGCAGATGCTAAAACAAGTGATCTCAAATCAGAAGCAAACACAAGATGTGTTTTGGAACTTGTCTTTGGGGCCGTGTGAAGCTCAGCACCCTACCTGTTGAAACTGGACTTGTACTTACCTGCCTTTTTTCCACAATTCCTCTAATAATCAATATCGGCACAACACTTTCATCTGCAAATTCCTCAGTGTTCTGAGATGGAAAGCCCTCCAGGCATGAAGCTCTATTTTAGAAGAGTTTGGTTCGATACCCGGAGGTTTAAAGATCTCTAAACTCCACCATTTCTGCTCTAAAGGTCATTATCTGAGATCTTTGTCACAGAGCACATGAAATGACAAGGAAAAAACCCCTAGCTAGTAGGGCTCTCTTCCAGGTTAAGGCCACTCTACCTGCCATACTGGCCACCTATATAGAATTTATTTCCACACCACTGCTCTTCTCACCTTGGCATCTCCATGCTCTGCAGGGAACAAGAACAAAACTATATTTAACCCTGGAAGATATGAAAGCAAAACTGGAAAAGCAAGCAACAAGGCTTCTAAACACCCCTTAGGTTACCTCAACTAACTGCATCATGCCGGGTAAAGGGAAAGCCCAGTGAACAAAGTCACTAAAAGGGAAAAAAGGAATAAATCTAAATTACTGAGTAAGATGAAAAGTGAAACAATCAGATGGAAATGCAGAGCTCGTAGCCAGGGAGAGAGAGCTAAACTGGACTCTGTGAATAAACATCAGGGGTCTATAGGCAAAGGCACTCGGTTAGTATTCCTCCCCCAGTATTCCTCTGTCCCACTCACCACCACTTCGTCTGGTGACAACCTGCCATTCCTTTGGTCAGGATACTTCACTTTTATTCTTCTGCTGCTGGAATATGACACTTATGTGACTTTTACAATCTGAACTACTGATGTAGGACAGGAGCACATGGACCAAGCAATAACCCTGGTCATTCAATGCTATGGTGTAGCACAAAACTTAAAAGATGCTGGGGCCCTACCAGCAAACATTTCCAAATTCCTGGCATGCTTTGCAGCCAGTCAACCCCTACAGTGGTTTTGGTAAGGAGACAATACTCTGATCAACATTGATGGCGAGAAGAGGTTGTTTTCTTACTTATATAAACCTTTCGATGCATTCACTGTGGCTTTAGGCTGCAGATATCCATGCCTTCCTTCCCCCGATGTCCAGCTACCATAAAACTTGTAAGACTCTAGAGCCAGAACAATTCTCATCTTCTTTTAAGTTACCCCAGGGCTCCAAAGAACCATTGCTACTGAAAATGTAGCCCTGGCCCTGGCAACATAGTACAGTCAACAAAAGGACAATAGGCACAATTCATCAAAATATACCACGGCGCAAATGACAGCAGCCTGAAAGCGCTAAGCCTGGGAAGCCACAGGCAAAACTGCATCAAGGCGAATGCCCTCTTCTCTGTATAAACAGACAAACACAGATACCTAACATACTATTGCCACGTCCCTCTGCCTCTAGACCTGCCTTTCTAAAATGTAGATCCGTCACACCTATTTCTACTTTCAAGCTTCCTATGGCTCCCCACCCTTTGGAGCACAGCACTCAGGGATTCCTCCACAATTATGTCCTCGCTTAGTTTTCTGGCCTTCATGTTAGCCACTGCACACCGATCACCTCCTGCTGTGAGTCAAACCATTTCATACCTGAACTACTCAACTGTCCTACAGAGATGGTAACTACCCTGATCCTGCCTGTAGTACAATAAACATGGGCTCTCCTCCAGATGTCATTAACTCCATAATGACTAAATCAAGAGTTTTAAATTGTTTTTCTTTTTTATTGGTTTCAGAGAGAGGAAGGGAGAGGGAGAGACAGAGAGAAACATCAATGATGAGAGAGAGTCACTGATCACCTGCCTCCTGCATGCCCCCAACTGGGGATGGAGCCCGCAACCCCAGCATGTGACCTGACCGGGAATCGAACCTCAACCTCCTGGTTCATGGGTCAATGTTCAACCACTGAGCCATGCCAGCCGGACAAGAGTTTTAAATTATTTTTCCAATAAAGCGCATATCACGAAGGTACAGGAAAATTTGCATTTATACTAAAGCTAAAGAATGATTGTTTGGCTTAATGAAAAGTGTTTTAAATAGCAAATATCCTGAGTGCTCTGTAAGTGAGATTTGATTTGCCAAAAAAAAAAAGTTTACATACAAAAATGTAAGCATATATCCAGTTCTGCTTGTGATCCTTCCCATCAACGTGGCTCACAATATAATAGGAAATGGTGTGTTTAATAATTTAGCACTTGTCTCCACTAACTCATTTCATGGGCTCATGCATATATGCCCGTGTAAAAAGAGAAAGTGGGAGAGGAAGAATGAACGGGTAGGAGAAGCATTTTATATTTGTAGGGATATTAGGGCTGGTGACTCATTTTTATTTCATCATTATTTTGAACAAACTGAAAGGCACTCTACAGTGTGGATGTGAGCTGCTTTCTGCACATTTCCCCCCTGCACTACTCATGTTTAAGCAGGGACATGAGGGGATCACGACCGCACACACTGATCTGTGCTCAGATGCTGCTTGAAGGATGCAGTGCGTGGCCATGGAGCACAGCAAGCTGACTGGTTCTCACAGATCAAGGCCAAGACCTTGGCCTTTTATCATTAGTATTCTGTATTCTGCCAACCAAAACTGCAGGCCCTGGGAGACAGAGGAGGCCAGGGTTTTATGCTACGAGTGTATACATCAGTTAAGTTCTGACAAGCAGGAAAAAATACTAATGTGTCTAGTGTAAAGTTTTATATAGTTCATTTGACAGAGGAATTAAAATGATCAGGAGACTAATCGGACTAATTTGTAGCTAGTATTAATTCTATAAAATAAAATTTAAACACTTGGACATATTTTTCATCATTAACTCATTACAATATATTATTAAACACATGTACATAATTTTAACACTCATTTAAAAAAATTTTTTTTTAATTGATTTTAGAAAGACAAGAAGGGAGAGAAAGAGACAGGCATCGATTGGCTGCCCCCGAATGCACCCTACCATGTGCCCTGACTGGGAACTGAACGGGTGACCTCTCAGCACACGGGACAACGCTCAATCAACTGAGCCACACTGGCCAGGGCAACACTTATTATTTTTAAGCATTTGGCCAAATGAACTAGAAAAGATTATCAAAACAACTGTATGCCCCAATCACTTCAAAAGGTAAAACCACAAAACATAAAAATTATAGGCTAGAAATAATAATTTTCATAAGAAACCTTGCTTAAAGTTATCAGCTTTAAGTTCAACTAAATAATAGTAACATTTTTAAAGGGCTCTTACTATGATCTGGGCACTATTCAAAGAAGTTTACGCATATTACCTTGTTTAATTTCCAAAATAACTCTTTGAGGTAAAAAGAATTATCACCCTCAATTTGTAGACGGAAGCACAGGGTAAGTAATCTGCTCAAGGTCATGTAGCCAGTAAATGGGAGGGTTATTTAATTAACTTGAAACCTCATATAGATTACTGAAGGATGATTGCCTATATCTCTATAAATATGCCAATCTATAAAACTATAGATATATTCATACTATCCCTGTCTTAAAAGCATCAATTTTGTGCTCATTTTCTTGCTCCAAGTATACTCACAGGTCCACTTATTAGTAGTGTACCTCACTTAAACTGAATCATATGTGAGAAAAATCCTTGCTTAATAACAATGGAAAAGATACTAATTATTTGTTTTATAAAATTATTTGTCATATTAAAATACAAATCGTTTGATGTGTCCTTAAACAGTAAGCTCCAATGTTATGTGGTATGCATACATTAAGGATGTAACTTTCTTTACGGTAGAGCTGGTTTACCTGAATCAACCATATTGAGAAAATCATATAAAAACTGAATTAGCTAAATACTTTAAAAGCAACACATATTTTACACAAGGAGAAACACGGCCGTACATGAAAAGTTGAATAAGACATAGATTTCAGGGTCTTTGGACTTGAATAGACTGTGTAAGGGTTATGATTTCTCAGAACATGAAAACACAAGGAGAATTTTCTTTAAACATTCACGAGAGAAAAAGATCAAGATTATGACACAAAATGAAAATTAATCCCTAAGTGCTTATTTATATGTATCTGGTCAATTCTAATAGTTTTGAGTTAAATATTTTTTGATTTCCTTAAACTAGTATATATGAGTTATTGAAAATAAATTTAACTTTGCCATCTGTATGTTCAAATTTAAAGTATCTGACATTGCCCGAAGGAATTCTGCCTCAGGCAGTATTTTCTGATGGTCTGGTATAATCAAGGTATGGCATCTTACTGTAGTTACTGTTATGTATAAGGAAAAATGGTACTCAGATGCTCATATCTGCTAGCTAGTCTTCCTTTTAGCATATATTAGCTGTGGTGTCTTTGGTCAGCATATACAAGTGGCGTGGCTATAATGTATGCCTAGCAACTAGAAACTAGAATAATTTTTATATGTGGGTAAGAAAAATCACTCCCATTACTTTTTAGTCTCATATTTCCCACACAATACTTTACCACAATATTTAACTCATCAACTTACATGTATCACAGAAAATACAAAATGGGAACAATTTACCAGTGATGACTCGCATGTCAATGAAAACTTTATAAAAATCAATCTTCAGCCTAAGTTAATGTAGTCCATAGGCCTTCCATAGGGTTGCATATAATATGGGGGCAATTAATAAATGTTCAGTTGTTAAAAGGCAAAATTATACAGACATCTGTTTGGTATTCAGTTCTTTCTACTTCCTGAAGACATAAGGAAATAGACCACTTTCATCTGGAACACATACTAACATCAAAAGAAGAGTTGACCGAAATGAACAAGCTGATTATGTCAGTATCCTTAAACAGAAAGGACCAAAAAGGATGACATATTTATAAAGAAGCTGCTTACCTTACAAACAGAAAGAATGTTAACATTGATCAGTTTCTTGATGATCTGCAAAAAATTTTTTATTATTTCATATATATTTGCTCTTGGAGATGACCATACTATATATATGTAACATGAATGATCTGGAGATGCATTGAAAGTTTCCCTAGGTATTGCAGAGACCTCGGGAAATGACAGGAGTTGGGATAAAGAGACAGATTTTATTTTACTCTCAGTGTCATAGTACTTTTCTACCAAAAGCAGCAATTCATGCTAATATGTAAAATCCAAGGTATATGTGCAAGTAAAATCTGAAAGCAAAAAGATACACTTAATCTAAAATAAATATGAACATTTTGTAATTTCCTCTCTGCTAAAACGAAAGGGAGAAATGATTGAAACTAAGGTTTTCAACAACTTTTAAAAATATTACATATTCCTTCAATGATGTTAGTCTTTATTAAAGAATTGTGCATGTATCAAGGATACAACTTTCATTCTGGTAGAGCTAGTTTACCTGAATCAACTAGTATACTCCTATATATTAACAACTTTATGACTTTTAAATCGGTGTTTAGAATCCTAATACTTAAAATGGAGCTGTTTTGATATAATAAAAATAACAATAATAGAAGTACGGCTATTTTAAACCTGGAACCGTACATGAGGTTATAAAGACTTTCTCATTCAATCCTTCAAACATCCCTATGAAGTTTACTTTATGGGTGAGGGAATGGACACCAAGTATGGTTGAGATCACCCTCAGAGTAACTCAGGCGGCAAGTAGAAGAGCCAGGGGTTGAACTTCAGGCAGCTGGACTCTGGTGCTCACAGTCTGACCATTATACCACATTGCCTCCCCAATACCTGTGTGCATTCGTTTTGTTACCAAAATATACAAAGAAAGACTTACATTGTCCAAGTCAGGAATTTCCAAAAAGTATTCAGGATACTCATATGACATTCCCACGTTATTCACTGAAATAAGACAAGATTGTTAGCCTGCTAACATATATATTTTACAGATTTTTTAAAAATACTGGGATTAAAGATTTCAATACTAAAATGATACAATGACATAAAATACTATTTATGGCTGGACTGACCTTTCCCATGCCTTTTTATCCAAAAATCTATCCATGTGTGTACAGTTCAAATGTCTCCGCTGTCATTAAGCTTTTTTGTACCTACCACCCAACTCCTGACAAAAGAACTTATATTTGCCTTCCAATTTCCACAGCCCCTTGGACTATGTCTATTCTGCTTCTGTAATAGTTATTTGTAGATATTGCTTAACCCCTCTCCAGATCTTAAATTTTCACAGTACAGTAGAAAGAGCAGAGCGCACTGGAGCACAGAAGACTGGACACTTGAGTTCTACTTATAACTATTTCAGAAAATGTGTGATGGGATAAGTCACATACAACATGCATCTGTTTCTTCAACTCTAAAATGAGAACTCATTTAATCATCCAACAAAACCAGAAAGAAAAGTCAGTTTCTGGCATCATGGAGCATACACTTGAGTAGGAAGAGAAAGGAACTCAACAAAAGAATTAAAACAAAGATTTCATTACAAAGTGCAGAGTGCCATGGGAGCCTGTGCCTGGAGAGTGTGAGCTCATCTGGGATGTGAGCGAACGCTTCTCTGTGGAGGCCAAGAGTGGGTCAGACTAAATGTCTCCAGCAAACTATCCTTGCCTACTAGCCCATAAGACTTGAAAGTCCAAGTCATGTCTTAGTCTCCTGTATTCCTACTTCCCAATCACCTAACCCAAGCTTGGGGCTATAAGACAATCGAGAAGCTATGAGTAAACATATATAATTAGGTACATGATTAATACTCAGATATTCTATGTCTTCCTTAGCCCTGGAAAGATAAAGACAAACCCAGAATAAGGCATACTTGCAGGAATCATATAAATAAAATATCTTAGAATTTATTTTAACCAAATAAATAGGAAAATGGACTACTATCTATCTACCTGTCTATCTGTATTTAATCATCACAACAACTACATCAACTCCCTTATACATATTAGGAAACTGACGTTCACAGCAGTTAAATAACTCACCCAAGGTCACAGAGAAGGAATTCAAACTCAGGAAATTTGACTTCAGAGGCTAGGCCCTTACCCACTACATTAAAGCCACCATATGCCTTCATCCAGCATTCAGTTCAGGAAAATGTATCAGTAATAATTGGATAATAAACAGAAATCTGATAGCAATGTTTAATAAAACTGTGAAGTATTAAAAAGAAAAGTTTCAGTAGCAAAAAAGATAATGAAATTATGATCAGTCTGCTAAAGCTCATAAGGAATTATGCCAGATAAACCTGATAGTAGTAATAGTAACTTTTTCAATAGACTAACAAAATTAGTAGCTCAAAAGAACTCAATAGGGTTCTATATTTAGCAGTAAGCCAGTGACTTGAGGCTGCAAGTCTCAAGATTTTACTTGCACAATTTGGTCAGCGTAGCCTGAACAAGATCACTGAAACCTGTCTGAAATCTGGAAGCGAAGGGTAATGGCAAAGCAAACTGTGTTTAATTGGGACGCATGCCCATCTGAATAGGGTTAGTATCTAAACATAATTCCTAACAGCAGGTTCAAATCCATTTTTATTTTAGTCAATAGGTTCTCCACCTACCAGGGTTCTGGGAATCAATTCTATAAAAGAGCTGTTAAAATTAAGCCAAAACTAGTTGAAAGTAAGCCCTTATATTCCCTTGACTTTGCCTTAACCATCTTCAGAATTAGAAAGGATGAGTAACTTATTTACAGGGTGACTGAGAACAGCAACACCCAAAATACCTGTTAAAATGCTCCACATGAAACAGTCTTTACAAAGTCAGTTTAAGATAACAGAATCCTTAAAAAAAGGATTTGCCAAGTTGTAACTTTCATCAGTTTTTTAAAAAACTTCCATCTCATACAGCAAACTCCATCTCCCTCCACTTTCCCATATGGAGAAAACTTGCTATCCTCAGATTCCTGTCTAGCCCATGGAAAAATTAATGCTCTATTTCAAAATACTGAAGAAAATTGACTGGTGTAATTATAAATCTTTTAAGACGCAGATTTGTTGTGTTTTTCTTTAAAGTCTGGGAACTTTGCAAGCAGCATAGTTGACTTTGCCATCTTTGTAACATGTCCTACAAGTACAAAGACCAGCTGAGGAAGCCCACCAGTAACTGAGTAACTAAGGCTGCGTTAATGATGGGAAGTCTTCAGATCTGTCTCTGTTAAACTGAGCAAAGGAAATCTATCAAGCTCTCTATTCACACAATGAAAACGTGAACACCCACCTAACACAGCTCTAAAAGAAAACCCAGGCAACATGGAGAACTTCTGCTCAAATAAATAAATAGTATCATGTATAAGGTCTACACTGTTACAACCAAAAATACACACAGAAAAAAAATGTTAAAGCTGGGACAGATATTTCAGAACATTTGAGTCCAATTTTATGAGGGGAAGTGCCTGCCAATGTCACACTGGTAAAATGTTCTATCGCAGTGATTTTCAACCAGTGAGCCACAAGAATTTTTAAAACATGCAATACCTATTTTAGTCAGGGACAGTGACCTCTTTTCCCTTAGATTGTCAAAAAATAAAAATAAAAAATAATTGTAACAGCCAACACAAGAGCTGTCTGGTGTGGATGAATTAAAATTATACCTATTTTTTTGTCAGATGGGCAAAACATATATTTTTGGTGTGCCGCAGAATTTTAGTGATTGGTTTATGTGCCAGGAGATGAAAACGGTTGAAAATCGCTGTCCTAAAGTGGGGATTAGGGCCCTTAAATCCCTTCCTGCCTTATTGGCTGAACTCTTTGCTGGTGGGATATACGCCACCCACAATCTCTCCACAATAAGTAACCATTTCAGAGTGCTATTATTTAAGAGTATAGGGTAAAAACAACTGTTGCTCTCAACTACTTATTTCCATAAACTGCACAATAGTGCGAATCTCTTGGAAAAGGCAAAGCCATTGCAATTTTATTTTGTGACATTAGGTGGCAGCAATAACCAAATGGCAGGAGAAAAGCTTTCAGGGAACTGGAAAGGAAGGAAACCGGCTTAGGGTAGGAGTCAAGGACAGAAATATTTCCATGAAGATTTAATCTCATTAAGAATGGGCGCATGCAATGCCATCTTTATATATTACAGGATTCATTACAGGATTCATTATAGGATTCACCAAACCAAACAATGTCACAAGTTACTCCTACATTACTCCGATAGTTGAAAACCCCTTCTAAATGGAAGCATTTAAAATTGGCATTCAATAGCTGTTCGTTAGGGAGGTTTTTTTGAATCCTGCAAGGGAAGCACCAGAGACAGATTTAACATTTTTCATTCAATGACCCACAAAACCCTTTTACTAGTGTAACAGACTGTCTTTCAGAAAACAAAGGATGTAGTCTCGGAATCCCAACCACCACTGCCATAATCATCAGAGGACCCTGAGCAGATACAAAGCCTACCCACCCCATCAGTCTCCACTGGAGTTCGGAGACTGAGAAGGGCTCAGGAGAAGGGAGGGGACAGGGAGGGAGCAGAGTGCAGGCCGGCCACCAGCCAGGCAAGGCGAGTGGGAAGCGCGGGCGCAGGCCGAGAGCAATCCCACGTGCTGGCTCCCGCAGAGCACTCCCCAGGGCCCCCTCCAAAACTCTCGAAAACACTAGGATATGAGTATTATATTTTAAAGACTCGGAAAATCCGCCGAGTAATTCTGAATGTTAGATAAATACTCTAAATGATATCATGCCACAGTTTAAAAATCATTTCCCCATCTCATACTGAAAAAGAAAAAAAAACCCATACACAAGATTTCTGTTCCTTCTGAATCCATTTGCTGCCGCTTCTGACCTACTGGATTTTTAGAATCCTTTATCAAAACCAGCTGCTGTAGAGACAATGGCGTCATGAGAAAATTAGATTTTTGATAACTGGGTTGCGTATGAGGGAGAAGCAAATAACAATATAAACTAGAAAGTAAAAATCCATTTGAACAAACACAATAACAGATATGAGCATCCACATGCACATCACTTTCAAGCTGCGCGTTTTCCAGATTCATCGGAGACATGAGAAATTAAGGTGATTTAAAAACACTGCCTAATGGCTAGGCTTCCCAATATATATCAATACAAAGTGCTCTCTATTTCTTCCTCATCATATCAAAGTGGAAAGCGTTACGTCTACATTTCAGTCACATTAGCAGTTATATATACTAATCAGTCTAGCACTCAAATTAAAGACTAGAGAAATGAAAAACTTATTAGAGTTCATTAATGAAAATGGATTAGGAAAAAAATGCTGCCACTTTTGCTATATTTCAAAATAAACCACATTTTTAAAATGTAGGCATCAGTAACAGTGTATGTACCAAAAGTGGGGTGAAACCTCTGTCTTAAGCTTTTGAACTAAAAGGGTATGGGTCTCAGAGTCCAATATACCCAGGTTTTAGTCCTGGCTCTACTGTAACCAGCTCTTAAGAAAAGGTGAGTGATTTTACCCCAGTAAACTGTTTCCTCTCTCTCTCTCTCTCAAAATTAAAGAATTAAACGATAATATGCAAAAATCTTTAACTCAACCCTGAAATATATTACTTGTTAATAAAAAGAGGAAGAGCCCGGCTGGTGTGGCTCAGTGGCTGACCATTGACCTATGAACCAGGAGGTCACGCTTCGATTCCCGGTCAGGGCACATGCCCGGATTGCGGGCTTGATCCCCAGCAGGAGACATGTGGGAAGAAGCCGATCAATGACTCTCTTATCATTGATGATTCTATCTCTCCCTCTCCCCTCCTCTCTCTGAAATCAATAAAAACATATTTTGTTAAAAAAGAGGAAGAGTTGTTATTTTGTGTGGCCATTCAGTCGACAAGTGCTACTGAACTCATATTTCATACCCAACACGATTCTAGGTGCTGAGGACGCAGCAGGACAGCCAAGGTTGCTGCTT